CCCCAAAACCCCAAAACCCCATAGGACCATTATATTAAGCATATAGTAGAAAATATAAATAAAATGAGACAATCAAATCTAAAATAAGTTTGGAATATTAAGGTCTTAACTTTAAAATAGTTATAATCAGAATTATTATAGAATGATTGTGTCACTAATTGTAAAAAATATACTGACTTTAGGCATATTGCTTCTTTTTGGATTTCAACTCAGCTCTGCTTATACTTTGAAATTTAATGAAGCAGGAAAGTTTAAAATAGTATAGCTGACTGACATTCATCTAGGATATGACGATGAAAAGGATTAAAAATCATTGAACGTTATCTCAACTGTTTTAGATCATGAGAAGCCTGATCTTGTTTTTATAACAGGGGACGCAGTATCAGGCTACCTCTGGGATGACTAAGAATAGAATTTTTATGCTTCTAAGTACTAAAAAATGGCGGAACTACTCACAAAGTACCAAATTCCATGGGCATTGACTGCAGGAAACCATGACTCTGAAGGAGATCTAACAAGAGATCAAATATCTGAATTTGATAGATCATTTGCTTTAAGTCTTACCTAATAGAAAATACCAGAGTTATCTCACACATTTAATTACTAGTTGCCAGTTTATGATAAAAACGGTGAGAGTGTACTCTTTAGAATTTGGACCGTAGACTCCGGAGAAGGAGATGGATGTCCAGATGGATTTGGTTATGATTGCGTAAGAAATGATTAAATTGACTGGATGAGATAAGAATTAAATCAGCTTCCTGATGAGGACCCAAGTAAAAGAAGAGGAATCCTGTTTATGCATATTCCTATATAGGAATACATGAATCTCTATAATGATGAAAATATATATGGAGAAGATGGTGAGTATATATGCTGTCAATCTGTCAACACTGGCCTGTTTTAATTAATCTAAGAAACAAATGCAGTAGATTGGATCTCGAGCGGCCATGATCATGACAATGATTATTATGGATAATACAAAGGCATCAATATGGCTTATGGAAGAAAGACAGGGTATGGCTAATATGGCCCCAACAAATTACTAAGAGGAGCTAGAGTTTTTGAAATAAGCATAAATAATGAATATGACGTTAAAACATGGATAAGATAAGAAGACGGTTCAATAGATTATCAGAAAAAACTTAGTCAAAAACCATTTTTGTCTTTTAGCTAGGAATACTGCTGTGAAGAAATAGTTCAATAGTAGCTGTATAATTTCAAGTATACAATAGTTTTCTTGATTGGAATGGGTTACTTTTTGATTGACTCTCTGCTATAAAGGAGGCGGTAGAGGTCAAATTTTCATAAGGAAAAGTTATCAATTATGTAAAGCTAAGTGCCTTCTTAACAGTAAGAAACAAATTCCAATTAGAATATTAGTGAATCAAATGTCACCATATTATTGTGAAATGTTTTTGATCAACCTTATCTGATCAAGGATTATTTTTAAAGTTCCAATTTAATATACTATATCATTGTATATTTCAAATTAATTTCCTTAATCATTTTATTGTTTTATATACAGAATCTCTATTTCTTAGCTTAACGGGGTTTTGGGGTTTTGGGGTTTTGGGGTTTTGGGG